TGTTTTAGTCTGTGTCTCCGTTAATTGCTCCCACCTGCATCTTGTTTCCCAATCACCATAGCTCCCGCTCCTCGTGTATTTAAACCCCGTCTGTTCTGTGTTTCATGTCGTGTCATTGTTTCAGTGTCCAGCGTGTGTATTTAATAAATCTATGTTAAACGGACCTACCTGTTCACCTTCTTCCTCCCCGCGATTGGATCCTACCTCCGCTCCACTCACCAGGCACGCTCGTGACACTTCGCTTTATGTGAAAAAAGTTAATGTTTCACCCGCCGTACGTTTGGGTCACGAATCTGCTGTACTAAAAGCAAACGCCTTGTACCCCCTTTCACAGGTTACCGTCAAAACATACTCGATTCCACAAAATTCGAGGATATGTAATCTGGAGGACCTCTTTCTCGGAGCTATCCCTAAATATATAGTACTGGGATTAGTGGATCATGAGGCCTATACGGGCAGAAGAGACCTTTCTGTGGAATGTGGAATATCTTGCGTTGTGCAGAGACAGCAAACAGATCCCATCAAAAGCATTCCAGCTGACTTTTGATCATAGAACTTCCGTCAGAGAATTTTATAATCTGTTTACAGACCTCCAGACATTTGAAAGATTTGCCTCTTGCGATTAACAGGATAGATTATCAGTAAGGCTATACATTGTTTGCCTTCAATCTGAACTCTGCGGATGACGTAGAGGCTTTGTCTCCTGCTGCTAATGGCAACTTGAGAATGTAAATGCGCTTCAGCGACCCGCTGAGAGAGACAGATACACTCATTGTGTATGCATGCTACGAATCCATTTTCGAGATAAACTCAAAGAAAGATGTGCTGGTTGATTATTATTGATGGATAATCATGAACTGCATGGACCATTATCAAGCCTGCTGGGAGATCATCTTTTTTTGGGCATGTTTGCCTCTGATCAGCTGTCTACAATCCCTAAAAAAAAATACAGCTCCCGGCCTATTTTGTGGTAAACACCTACCCGGCTCATTTACCTGGTGAACATTGGTTAGCATTGGCTGTGGAGCAAGATGGCTTCGGGACATTTTTCGATTCTTATGGATTTTCACCAGAGTTTGAATATTACCCCAAAACCATCCTGAATTTTCCAAAAGAAAGGTGCTCAGAAAGACATTATCAGGATGACCAGCTGCAGAGTTTGACATCCGACCGCTGCGAACATCACTGCGTATTATTCCTATGCCATAAAGCCTGCGGGGTTTCTCTCAAACAAATTCTGTCTAAATATCATAAAAATGTATCGATGAATGATGTTATGGTTTATAATTTTGTAAAAAAAATATAGAAATTGTATAAAATGTCATGATTTTTATTTCACACAGATGAATTGTACTCTCAAAATGTTTAAAGAATGTCACGTACTGTGAAATTTGTTTTTAATAAACGTTTTATTGAACAAACAAAAAGTTGAACACGTGATTCATTTAAGGGGAAAAGCGTATCCATTTCTTCAAAGCGGGTTGATCGCTCCAACTTGGAGATAAAATGATTTCTCTCTCTTGTCTCTTCTTTAAAATACTGGGCATTTCCTGAACAGGCAGCTGCTTCTTCTTTATTTTACCTGCAGCCGGAAGTAACCCCCTCTCGCTCCTGAGTTGCGGAATCTGCTGACGCGCTAGTGAGTTTGTCACCGCTGTTGGTTCTGGTTGTTGTATTTTTAATGGGTTGGTGATGCTTTTAACCAAGTCAAGGATGTGAGATATTTTCTGCACATCGCCTTTATATATAAATTCCCCCGTTGGTCCCCAATTAAATCGTGTCATCTTCAGCAGATACTCTGCATTTCTCCTGCTGCGTGCCGGCAAATTCTGCAGCACGTCTCGAATGACAGCTTCAGGTTGATCAGCTGGCACAGCAACAGCAGCGGCATCAGCTGATTCAGAGTTCTGTTCAATGGGGGGGACATGTATTTGTAAATCCTCTTGTAATCCAGCTCTCGCCAGAGCAAGATAACGCTGTAGCAGTGCGTTGTATTTCTTAATTTTCTCATACGCCGTTAGTCCCGTCTCCTGCATAATTAATTTCATATCCGCATCAAGATCCGCCTCTGCTACGTCTTTGATGGTGGGTTTTGTGAGATGGTATCATTGTTGAAGGGTAACCATGAACATTTTTTGAGAAGCCATTATTTCCTATTTGTTTATAACACCGCTGATTAGTTCTCCTAGTAGAGGTGCAACAGCTGCTAGGAGAATCGGCAGAAATCCGCCTTTTTGACTGATTAAAAGCTTTTTCTTTTTAAAAGAGCTAGTTTTGTTATCAGCCAACTTCCACTGGAGCGTTTTGTTTTTAGATCATTTCTTATACTGGAGAGGAGAGAGCCGGATGTTCCCTTTCAGCATGTTTAAAGCAATCTCGCACAGAGCGTGCACAACATCCGGCGAGCAGTCTTTTAAAAACTCATGACGTTTTCGGGGGCTCATGCGAAACAAAGCCTTGAGAATCCTGGCATTGCGTTTTATCCTGGATGACATAGTTCTATTTTAGGAAAATATGCCACCGGCATTTGACCCGGAAGTGCTCCGCTGCGCAGCCTTAGACGCTCTGGTGTTTCTGGTTTCAAATCCACTATTAAATAACCGTGAGGGTCCTGTATTGCGTCTTGGAAACTCTTGAGAAAATATCTTTTTTGAGTAGGGTAGATTTGATTTGCTAAAACATTTATTTGCAATTTATCTCGTGAATTTTTAAACAAAATAAAAATAATTTGTGTTTAGACTGATTGATCTGTTATTTTTCCCTTGATGAAAGACATTTTGTGTGAGTGATAAAACACTCATATTCCGATGATATCTTTTACTGAGAGAATAATTTTACCACTTCCGGATGGTCAGACATCTGCTGCATCAGATCATCTAAAATAATTAAATGAGTTTGCTCAGGTGGAAACATTTGGTCGTCATCGAATGAAGAAAGGAGACCTTGAAAAAATCTAATATTTTTATTACAAAGTTTCAGATCATCATACATTTTCTGATAAGAAGTATAAAACCAAATGGTATTCTTTGGCATTTCAGTCATACATTCCAGACAATTTTACAAAATACTTTTTACAAAAAAAGTCTTCCCACAGCCTGATGGTCCAGCTATCAGAGCGCTGAAAGGGACTTTCAGTCTGGGATCAAAATACGTTTCCATTTTCACTAATCTAATAACCAAAAGGCAGAGTTGTTCCGTAAGGAAATAACCTCCGTTTATCAAAAACCACACAAAACTTTTTCACAAATGAAGCATTTGAGAGAGTGGACCCTTCTTTATCCCTCCTAATGGTGTCCTGATGCGCCTGCAGAAAGCCCCACCCCCACCCACACCCCCCACCGCGGTATCCCTCCATCAGCTCTCTTTTCTTTTGGTGAATTGTACTCAGTCCAGAATAAAGGCTACTTGACTTTACAAGATACAAACAAGTATTAAGTTTTAGAAATATATGAAATGTATTTAGCCTGCTAATTTATCTGAAATACTAATAACTACCATATTTTCCAGACAATGTTGCACTTTTTTTCATAGTCTGGCCGGTCCTGCGACTTATACTCCGGAGCGACTTATATACCAAATTATGTAGGCTATACTGCGCTGCTGCTGCGGGACAGCTCTGGACCAGGAATGAGCTCCCCTGCCCCGCTGGGAATAAAAAACACACAGCCATCACCTGCTGGAGCCTGTGGCGCACCGTTACGCACCTGATCCGGCCCAGGAGTGGGCTCCCCTGACCCGCAGGGAACTAAAAACACACAGCCATCACCTGCTGGAGACTGTGGTGCGCAGCTGCGGGCTGGATCCGACCCAGGATTCAGCTCACCTGCCCCGCAGGGAATTAAAAACACACAGCCATCACCTGCCGGAGCCTGTTGCGCGCCATTGCGCACTGAATCCGGCCCAGGTTTCAGCTCCTCTGCCCCGCCATCACCTGCTGCAGCCTGTGGCGCACTGCTGCGGGCTGGCTCCAACCCAGGAATGAGCTCCCCTGTCCCGCTGGGAGGGTTTCAAGCACCGCCATCCTCTGCTGGAGACTGTGGCGCGCTGCTGCGCCCGCATTGTTTATTTATTCTGTTATTGTTACCGGTACTTATCTTGCAATGTGAAACGCTTGGTCTCAGATTTTGTAAGAAAAATAACAAAATTTCCCCCCAAAATGCGACTTATAGTCCAGTGCGACTTATATATGTTTTTTCTTCTTCTTCATCATACATTTTATGGCTGGTGTGACTTATACTCCGGAGCGACTTATAGTCCGAAAAATACTGTACGTTAAAAAATTTGAAAACTTGCTCAAAGCAAAATATATTTTCATTAAAGAAATACCTTATAAACTTACAGATTTAATACTTTTTTATTCACAGAAAGATAGTTTTCATGAAAAAGTGCCGCAAACCTCCACACAAACTCCATGTGAGCTGTCACTGGTGTTCCACAGAGTTAGCTCAGGTTGTAGCTAGGTAGCTACCTCCATTAGCTTAGCTCCCACCTCCGCGTTAGCTTTGGATTAGCTTCAGGTTAGCTTGTAGCTAGTTCGACCGGGTGTCGTCATTTGATCCCAGCCTTATAGCCCCACCCTCAGCTCCACCTCTCTTCCCTTTTGTGGAATTGTCTGGACTTGACAGAACCTGTGACACGGTCAAAATGGCGGTGGTGGCCACCTCCCATTTTTCCTCAAAAACGTGTTATTGGAGTCTATGGAAACCCATTGTCCATATATGTATATGTCGATGGTGCAAAATAACATCTACAAAAAAATAAATAAATAAAAAAGTAATAGCCTGCTGCATGAAAGGTGAAATTTAACCAACCACAAAAAGCTTTGGATATTTTGGCTCCCTTTGTGAGCTGATTAATCTCATTTTTATTCTTACACATGTGAGGAAAATTACTCTCTCCCATTAAATGTCCATTGTGGCCAATACAGGCCAAGGGCTATGAAAATGCACATGATTTCCAGTTAATTGTAGCCGTTAATGAGGTGTTGTGTGTGTTTGCAGATGTGCAGCGCTTCCTCCTCCCTTACATCGGCCTGAAGGGATTATACTTCATGGGCTACTTTGTCTTCGGCATGGGAACCAGCCTGATTGGCCTCTTCCCGGATGTTATTGCCACGCTCATCCTCTGCAGTGTGTTTGGGGTCATGTCCAGCACGCTCTACACCATCCCGTTCAATCTGATAGCAGAGTATCAGCGTGAAGAAGAGGTACTGGTTTCACAGCTAGGAAGCTTTTAATTGAAAGAAGAAAACTCATTCAACTAAAGAAAGCAGAGAGGATCCTACTTGGATTCTGTGATTTAGCTCAAAGTGTGTGTAACAAAGCTAACAGCTAGCGATCCTGTTGAATTCCAACCAAAACAGACTCAGGCAGCTTCATAAAAAAAAAAAAAAATATATATATATATATATATATATATATATATATATATATATATATATATAATGCTTTCATCAGACATAAATGTTGTGGTCTGCGAAAAAATTATCACTTCTGTAAAATTACAATTCAGAAACAGATCAACAGCTGTGTCAGATGCGCATGTTTAACATTCATGCTGTAAAATGCAAACTGGACTGAATGTGTAAATATTTATGAATGTCATTAAGTAAAAAAGTGGTGTTCAGCTTTGAATATTACCTAATTTACAATTCCCAGTCATGAGTCGTAGTTTTCATGCACAGGAACAAAATCCCACGTGTATATCCAGCAACAATGGAAACACATAATTTTGGTTTACAGGCTAAATAAAGTCAATATTTATTACTAAAACTTATATGAAATTATTGAAATAAATAATCTGACATTCTGTTTAAACTCAGCCCTTCTGGATTAAAATATCTGGGAGTCTTTGTAGTCTTCCGACTTTCTTCTTTGATCACCCAACTTAAACCTGATTTCCAGAGGTGGAATTCATTGCCTCTGTCCTTAATTGGTCGCATTAATACAGTATAGATGAACGTTTTATCCCGTTTGTTTATTTTTTTCAATGTGTCCATGTATTTCTACCAAAAACCTTTTTCAAACAGTTTGATCAGCTGGTTTTGTTGTTTTTGTGGGGAAGGTAAGTGTGAGAGGGTCACTGTTGTACAGATTGAAATTTGATGGTGGTCTTGCTTTACCTAATGTTTTATTTCATTAATGGTCTTCTCATTTTCACAAATGAACATACTGGCTGGATTCTCACGAACTGTTATGATGCAGGTTGGAGCATCTGTCATACACATCCAATGCATTGATATCTTCTCCACTACCACTCATTCTGTCTCATTTCACAACCAATCCTGTGGTATGGTCTAGTCTTAAGATTAGGTTGCAATTTAGAAATCACTTTAAGTACACTTCTGCACCAGTACACATGCCGATCCCGCTGAACCATTTATTCCCCCCTGGTCTCACTGACGGCACACATATACAATGCAAACATCTTGGAATCAATGCGTTTGATGACCTCAATGAGGATGGTGTTTTTTCAAGCTTTTCCGATATCTCTTCAAAAGCAAATCTTCTGCTTCTCATCCATTCCACAATTTTAAGGTTCGACACTGTGTCGCTGCTCTCTTTCCCTCCTCCGTATCCATGCGTTCAGCCACGGGAAGAACTGCTATCCCTTAACCCTCACAGCCAATCGATCATATCCTTGATATATAAACAACTATTAGACTCAGATGTACATTCGCTGGTCACGATTCAGAGGGCTTGGGAGCAAGAGATGGGTGTCATCTATGTGGATCAACGATGGGAAGCTTCAATGTCTAACATCTGTTGGTGTGTCTTGCGCCAGGCTGCAACTCACTCAGTTCAAGTTTTTTTTTTTTTACAGAGTTCATTATTCAAAAATGTACGCTCACGTGGTGGATCAGTGGGAAAGATGTCAAGTCACTCCATGTGACCTGAGTCATATGTTCTATTCATGGCCAAGACTCCATAGTTTTTGAGGCTAGTACTCAACTGTTCTTTCTGGGGTTCCAGGCTTGCATGAACACTTTTTTAGCTATTGGCTTCCCAGATTATACTATCTTGACCAGTCCTTTATATCGCCCTTAGCTAGATGTTTAGCTAGACATTTTACCTACATGGAACTGTTTTAAATGTTCTTAAGGTGGAAAAATTGGGCCTTGCAGTTTGGGGTGTTACTAAGAAATTTGACCGTGTATGAGGCTCTTTTGTAGCTCACTGTGAGTCGCTGAGATTCCAGCCCCCCAGTGTTGTTAGAAGAAAAGGAAATAAAAAAATAATAATAATGGGATTATATTGTTGAAGGTATTTCTGTACGTTCTGTTTCTCAGTATAAAATATGAAGGAAAAAAAACTGTGTTGATCCTTATGTAAGACTATTGATGTCAGCTGCCTGCCTGACAATGATGAGAGCAAATTAAAAGCAAACATCGTAGACATCCCCTGGTTAAACAAGGTCTGTTAGTGTCGAGGAACCAGGACACTGTGATGGCAAATGAGCTACTGGTGCGCCGTGGAAGTGGACAGGATGAAAATAAGGCACTGTTGGAATGTCACTTGTCCAGTAACACTAGCAGGGCTACATGAAAATACTGGAAAACATTGTTGCTTTAAAACCCACAGTCTCATCTAACAGTGAAACATCTACTAGGTCACTGTTCCAACAGCTACAAATGACAGCTGCTCTCACAACTAGAGATTGAAGAGATACAACCCATGAAGGCTAGGAAAAGGAGAGCAAGAACAGAAAGCCTGGTGGGGAAGTTAACATCAACTCCCCAACCGAGATTGGGTACCAAGCCCCAATGATGAAAAACTGACCTGAGATATAAGATCCAATCTAAGTTGGGCTCCTGTCAACCTCGACACCACTAGAACATTTGAATGAAATACCTCCAGAGCATCTCCTAGACAATGTAAATGCAGCATTAAGTACAAACCCTACTCCAAGCTCATATACAAAACAGAAACAGTGAGCCTTGACACATGGACCCTGTGATTGACATCAAGCTGAATGCTATAGTGAGCGAAACCTACAGCAGATCTCATGTCTGTTTCTAAGGGGTGAAGAGGTTTAGGGTTGGTATGTATGAAAAGTGTTGTATCTAATAAGTTATGCTCTTACACCTTCAATGAGTGAGCTATTTGTTCTTGGTCAGTCACATAACAGTGCAGCCGGTTGCCCTTTATTTTTATATAAGTGGAAGCTGAGATCTCAGTAAATTAGCACTTTAAAAAATCAAATGTTAGAAAAAGTATTTCTTGCTCGTTAAATATCTTGTTATAGTAATCAGGTGAAACAGTGTTGAAGTCCAAAACCACATGGATAAAATTAGAAAAAGAAAACTGCTTGTGACTTTAGGTCACAGATGATTTTTAAAACACATTCAAATCAATGACTACCCTGCAGCCTCGTCTTCAATAACCACTATTGCTCTCTGCTGTGCCTCCAGGAGCAGTTGAAACCACGAGGAAGCAATAAAATCTCCAGAGGAACCGGGATGGACTGTGCGGCACTCACCTGTATGGTCCAGCTGGCTCAGATCCTTGTGGGCGCCGGACTGGGAGCTCTGGTCAACGTAGCAGGAAGTGTCATTGTAGTGGTCCTGTCAGCCTCAGCCATGTCCCTGATTGGTTGCATCTTCATCGCTTTCTTCATCAGATATGTGGAATAAAACTACACAGAAATAATTGTACTGGTGCTGCTTTCTTAAATAAAATGTCTTTATTGTATCCTTTAAATGTTTGCTTTTCTCATTTCTTGTCACTTTGTCTCCTGAGCTGAAGAACACACACAGCGCCTTTTTTTTGGGGGGGGGGGGGGGGGGGGGGGGGGAAGAACCACTGCAGCCACTATCCAGACTTGTATCTCTGCAATTTAAGCTAAAAGATAAAACCTAGGGATTTTGACATTACTAGTTTAGATCATCTAACACATTTAGTAGAGGGCAGAAGCTGCGGGGGTGAAGCCTCAGCAATCACCACTCACCCACAGGTGGATCATTGTTGTGTGTGTGTGTGTGGTAATGTAGGTTGATGTGTGGTGATGTAGCTTTCGAACGTATGTTACAATTGGACAAAGAACCCCACCCGGATCAGAAAGCGTTAGGCATTAGCCCCCCCCAACCCCGTCTGTGAGTCAGGTTTTGTAATCTGTAAACAAGACTTCTTTGTGAGCTGTCATTTTCATAATTGGGTTGTAAAGATTATAGTAATTAACTGACAAAATCAATTATTTGCTTTGTGAATCATGCCAAATCATTGAAGCTGCTCATGAATGAATGAACCTGATCGTTGACAGTGTCTCAGCCCCAAACCAGAGACGCACCATCCTAGTAAGATTTTCTTTTCACAAGCAACATCAAAGTTTAAAGAGTAAGTCACCCCCGTACCAGAGTCTTAATTAACTCGCATTTTGTTTGAAACACTTGCCACAAGGAGGTGTGGCCTGGTGGAGTAGGAGGACATAGCTGCGGTAGAAGATGATACCAACCACTAGCAACCCCCCAAGGCCCTTCACAACACAATCAGTCATCCACCCATTCACACGCTGGTGATGAACCTGCAACTGTTCAATTACTGGATAACCCATATACCTCCTGAACTACTGCTGTCCCTGGAAGGTAGAATCAGCCAGCAACGGCTTGATGCATGAGCGATTCATCATCGGTCTAGATGCGGTGGAGTAAACATCTTCTCTGACTGCAGCTTGGACCTGCCACTCCAGCTGCGTTAGCGTGGGGACAGACGACATCTCTGAGATGAAACCACGGCAGTCGCTGCTCAGTGAGACAGTAGGAAGCAGTGTGCTTCATGTAAAAGTCTCCAAAAGCAACACTGCTCACAGCTGCTTTTGTTTACTAATGTAAGGAGGACACCAAAGACTTCTCTGTGCATCTTTAGCCTCACACACGTTTGGAGACATCTGCATTCCTGAGAAGGCTGTTTGAACCACAGAAATCATGGTGTGAACAAAACCTGGGCGTGCAAGTGAGGGCCAATCAAACTAAACCAAGACCGGCCAGGCCAGATGTGAAAATGGAATAAAATGCCAAAATGATGACTGTTTAGAAGCCTATAAAACTATTAGACATTCATTTATACAGTTTATTAGCAAAACAATAGAAAGTTTGAGAGTAACTTTAAAGTTTGCTCTCTCACAAACAATGACCTTTGTGGTCTGTAACCCTCCTGTTTTGTTTGTTTTGTTTTAGGAATATCTTTGTAATGCTTCTTGTTTTTAGCTAAAGATTTTCCTCTAGAGTTCCTTCCTGATTTCAGTTATCCAAATGATAATCAAAAGCAAACTTTAATAACACAAAGATTAACTGGAAATTTAATAAGTTCAAAAGTTGTACCTTCTTTGCTCGCAGCATGATGTAATCCTTCACTTGCACTCAACTGTATATGATTTAGTCTGCCTCGATTTTGCCTTCAGGCATCCAATTTGTCATTTATAGTGCAGGACACTTAAAAAGTTTCTCAGCAGAGTTGAAGGTGTGTAGTCATAAGCTCATGCTGCAGGGAGGCTGTTGGAATTAGCATGCTTATACAGGCTATATGAGACACAGTCACCGCTGTTGGTGCAGAGTCACATCTAAAGCTTTCAGAAGCTTTGGGGAATCATATTTATGAGCAAAATAATCACACTATAATTCTGATGAACAGCCGTGACTTCAGTAGCAAAATCGATGCCTAGAGAGGAACTCACGGCTCGCTGAAATGTCAGGTTAGCTTTTTTGCTACAGCCACCGGTGTTGCTGTGTGCAGCACAGGAAACGTGCAAAAATTTATTTTGGAAGGTCGTTTTTGCTTTAACATCTTTTGAGTGGTGACACAGTCTCCAGGCACAGTTACAGTGTAAAAAATGCAGTTTAGACCATTAGAGCCTCAAACGGACCCCATTCAGATCAGTTATGTGATAAGAAGTTGAATGAGTCTGAATTAGTTTGTTTGTTCTTACAGTATAGCTCTTGAGATAAAAATCTGTAAAAATGCTTCATTTATAGTTTGTGAGCTAGCAGACCGGCACTCTGGTTAATTCCATCATGGTTCTCCATGCTACAACTGGGAACTCCAACAATAATTAAATTTTCTTGAAATGTTGCACCTAAGGGAGAGGACTCTATAGGACTCAGATGCTACCTTTAAAATTTGCAGATATTGTTTGATTTGTTGAAGAACAGTGTAATGATATGACGACATGTTGATTGCATCTCACCTGTTTGATTGGAAAAAATTACGCTGAATATAACTGCCAGATATAGCTCTCATTATTTAGATATTTATACATTTATTATGGTAAAACGTTTTAAACTTAAATAGAAAAATATATAATTTCTGAGTCAAATATAAACATGTAAAATTGCATCTAAATGTTTAAATCTGAATACAAACGTGGTGCTTCTAAAATGTGTAGAGACTGGGAAAATTCATGTTGCACATAAATAAACAGTAACCTTCAACATCTTTAGTGTGTTCTTACTGTGTTTAGTTTCTAATTCCATTTTTGGTTCTTTTTAAAACACAGGAAAGGTTTTTTCTTTACCTTGCTGACGTACGTTTCGTTTGCCGACTGCAAAACATCCTCAGAGCTGATGCTGATGGTGGCGTCACTTCCTACCCCGTTTATCCGCGGGCAGCAGAGGACGTTGTCGCCCTCTGCTGCCCGATCTCCCCTCTCCACTTCAGAGCGTCAGCTCTGAAGATGTTTTGCAGTCGGCAAACGAAACGTACATCAGCAAGGCAAAGAAAACCCTTTCCTGTGTTTTAAAAAGAACCAAAAATGGAATTAGAAACTAAACACAGTAAGAACACACCAAAGATGTTTAAAAAAAAATACGGACAACAAGGAACAAAGGACATCCGCCGTTTGGAACGTTACATCAAAAACGCGCACGTCTTAGGAACCACCTTCGCTTCAATTTAAGATGCCGGAACGAAAACACACCAACAAGCCTACAGCTGAAAACACCTGTCCGGCCCAAGACAGCACAGAACATAATGGAAAGAGCACAGAGTGCATTACTCAAAGAAAGGATAAGAAACGTCACAACCAAACAGAAGCAAGTGGATAACAAACTGGAATGAAGACATCTGGACTTAAAAAGGAATTACAAACTTGATGAAAAAATGGAGGAACAAATTAAAGGACACATGATGGAACAACAGGAAAAATAATTCATAAAGGTAAAAGAAAGACACATAAAGAAGTAAAAAAACTCATCAACAAGAAAAAGAGGAAAAAAAATACAAGATAACACCACACAAAGCTCATGGGTATGTAACCTTTCACAATACAAACTAACAGAAGCAGAAGAAAGCATATTAAAAAAAGGTTTAAAATTTGCAGTAACAACGAAGAAAATACCATATGATCAATTTGTTGTAGCAACAGAACTAGCATGTCAACAGATCACAGATGAGGGAAAGAAAGCAGAACTCAGAAATAATGTAGTTGAGATATTAAAGAACAGCAAAATTCAAGACAGCAATATTACAAAAGAAGAACAATCAGCCATGACAGCATTGTCCAAAAATGAACAGATAATTATTCTACCGGCAGACAAAGGAAGAACCACAGTAGTAATGGACAAAGAAAAATATAAACAACAGATGAAACAGATGTTAGAGCACAAAAATACATACAAAAGATCCAACAGAAAGCATTAAGAAAAACATGAAAAAATTACTGAAGCCACTACAAGAAAAAGGCAAAATAACAGAAAAAATGTACAAACACTGGATTCCTACAGCAAACATAACACCAAGAATATATGGAACTACAAAAACAAAACACCCCACATACACCAATTGTAGACAGCATAGGTACACCAACATACAACATGGCAAAAGAAATCAGCAAAATCATCAGCCCGTTATTAGGGAACACAGATCAACATTGCAAAAATAGTATAGAACTGGCAAAATAATTAAAAAAGATCACAGTAGAAGACAACGGCATACTCATCTCACATGACACAAAAACACCAACCCAAAAAACTATAGACATAGTAGTTAACAGAATCAGACAGGACAAGACTTTACACAAAAGAACAAACCTCACAGCAAATGACATAGCACAACTGATAGGACTGGAAGCTACAGTAACTACACTTACTTCACATACATCAGAGGTGGAAAGAGTACTTAAGTACTTAAGTACAAGTATAATTACTTTCATGAAATTTTACTCAATTACAAGTAAAATTACCTGCCTCAAAATGTACTCAAGTAAAAGTAAAAAGTAGCTTATTTCAAATGTAGTCAGAGTAAAAGTTACTTAGTTACTTTTTTGACTGTGCAAGGACGGGCTCTTCTGAATAGTTAAAAAAAAGACAATGGGGTATAAATCTCAAAGTGGCCGTTTTTTAATTAAATGAACAAATATGCATATTGAAGTACAAAGGCAGTTACACTGCAAACTAGTAACATAAATTAGGTTATAGTCACAAGCCCATGACTTTTCCCTGAATGACCCCCCCCCCCCCCCCAATATTAATGGTAGATTGAACCATTAATATTAATTCATATTAATATTAATTGATATAACAATTATTATTAATTGATATTAACATTAATGGTACCATTAATATGAATGTTAATACTGACAAGACTGAAGTAGTGCTGTTTGTGGGCCTTTTATAGTCTCTGGACTGAAACCCTCCTTTATGATGTCACACAGACTTAGCTATTGTGTCTACCCGGTTCTAGAAGATTCCATTAATTAAAGTTTTTATTTATAATAAATATAATAATAATACTAATAATAATAATAACAAACACAAAAGAAGAGTCTGTGTGTGACATCATAAAGGAGGCCTTTAATATGGAAGATTCCATTAATTAAAGTGTTTTTATTAATATTAATATCAATACTAATATTATTACTATTATTATTATTATTATTACTACAAATAACAATAATAGCAATACTACTACTACTAATAATAATAACAATGATGATAACAATAATAACAATAACAAACACAATAGAACAGTCTGTGTGTGACATCATAAAGGAGGCCTTTAATCTGGAAGATTCCATTAATTAAAAAGTTTTTATTAATATTAATACTATTATTACTATTATTATTAATAATAACAATACTACTACTACTACTACTAATAATAATGATGATAATAATAATAACACAAGCACAATAGAAGAGTCTGTGTGTGACATCATAAAGGAGGCCTTTAATCTGGAAGATTCCATTAATTAAAGTGTTTTATTAATATTAATATTAATACTAATATAATTACTATTATTATTATTAATAATAACAATAATTACAATACTAATACTACTAATAATAACTCTAACGAACACAATAGAAGAATCTGTGTGTGACATCATAAAGGAGGGTTTTAACTTGGTACATTCCGAGACTATAAAAGGCCCAGCAGCAGCAGCAGCACTTCAGTCTTTTCAGAGCTACTGTTGAGAACACACCACTGTCTTTAAACACCCAAGTAAGTTTGACCAAACTCTTTTTGTCACTCAAATCATGAACAGAAGAAACGTGTCGTCGTACGACTCACGTCTACACCCAGAAGAAATGGATTATGAGTCAGACATGGAAAATGATATGTTTGATGAAAAGGTGTCATCGTACGACTCACGTCTACACCCAGAAGAAATGGATTATGAGTCAGACATGGAAAATGATATGTTTGATGAAAAGGTGTCGTCGTACGACTCACGTCTACACCCAGAAGAAATGGATTATGAGTCAGACATGGAAAATGCTATGTTTGATGAAACAGAACATACATCCGTCTTTGATGCTGAGATAGAGTCACTTCACTATGAGACTAAATTACCTGCTGAACTGGAGTTCCCTGGATCTGAGACGGTCGACTCTGATTCTGAGACGATGGTCCCTAGATCTCAGATGGTTCAGCGGGAATTAGCTGGTTTTAAACGACCAAGAAAGCCACAACAGCCCCTTACTTTCGCTGAACTCATCAACTTTAGTTGTTATGGTGAGTACAAAAAGTCAGATCTACTGTCTACAACTAAAGAGATGGAGTCTGAGATGCCAGAACAAACATCTGTCTCTGATGCTGAGAAAGAGTCTCTTCCTAATGAGACTCATTTATCTGCTGACCTGGAAATCTCTGGATCTGAGACGGTTGTCCCTAGACCTCAGACGGTTCAGCAGGAATTAGTTGATTTTAAAAGCAGGCAAATTGATGAACTTTTGAAACAAGTGGATCATTTGAAAGAAAAACTGCAGAATACAAATACTTGTTTCCATCAGGAGAAGGAGAAGAGGATTGCTGCAGAGAACCAGTGTGAAAAACTGGAGGAACGACATTTGTACTTAGAAGCGATGTTTAGCATAGAAAAAGATGAGAAAGTCAATGCAGAAAAGAAGTTTCTGGAAGAGCAAAATAATTTTAAACATCAGCTCAAACAGAAGGATCTAATCTGTGAAGATTTAGAGAAATGTTTGCAGCTCAGAGTTAGCTACGAGGCTCAGCTGGACTCTAACAGGACGATAGCCTGTGAGAATTCAGATCTTAAAGAGCAGATCAAAGATCTGACTCAGAGCAACTCTGAACTCAGAGTGGTCGTGGAAAACCTGACCTCTGAGAATGCTGCTTCTCACCAGGAGTTGGTTGAGCAGCAGGAGAGCTTCAAACATGAACTCCAGGATAAATCTGTCGCCTGTGACCTTTTGAAACAAGTGGATCTTTTGAAAGAAAAACTGCAGAATACAAATACTTGTTTCAATCAGGAGAAGGAGAAGAGGCTTGCTGCAGAGAACCAGTGTGTGCTTTACAAGGAGCAAACTAAAGAGATGGAGAACGGTTTGGTTCAGCAGCAACAAAAGCTGGTGGCTTTAGAAAAGCAGTTACAGGAGCAGAAAAACGTGAATGAAGACTTACAAGAAATCTGCTCAGATCTAAAAGGTGAGACAGACGAGTCCCGTTTTTCTGGAGTCTCGAGAAACGATCTGATCGAGAACTTTGAAAAGCTGGAGGAACAACATTTGGGCTTAGAAGCGATGTTAAGCAGAGAAAAAGATGAGAAAATCAATGCAGAAAAGAAGTTTCTTGACAAGCTGGAGAAATTAAAGGAGCAGCTTTCAGAAAAGAACGTTTTCATCGAAAATCTGCAAACAGATTTAGATCAAGAACGTTGGTTCAGACTCGTTAGTGTCCAGGAGCAGAAGAACGCCCAGCATAAAGTTAACGAGAACTATCAGAAGGAAATGAAAGATCTTAAGAAAAGGAACGATGACCTCTCTGAGATGCTGGACAACGTTAAAACGGATCTGAAGAACAGAGACATGAAACTTCTGGAAGAGCGAAATAATTTTAAGCATCAGCTCAAACAGAAGAAGCTAATCTGCGAAGATTTAGAGAAACGTTTGAACAAAGAAAACGAGCTCCACCTGACCTGTGAGGAAGAACTCAAAAAAACTAAAGATCAAATGAGTTCAAAGAACGGAAATCTCAAGAAGGAGATCAACGACCTGAAACAGAAGAACTTGGAGCTCAGTCAGACGCTGAGAAGTGGTCAGGCTGTAGAAACTAAATCAGAGCAGATGTGTGAGGATCTGCAGAAGTTTAAGCAGCTGCTCCATGAAAAAATGTCCGTCTGTGAAGAACTTAGCAGCAGTCTGGACATGGAGAAGCAGCTCAGAGTTAGCTACGAGGCTCAGCTGGACTCTAACAGGGCGATAGCCTGTGAGAACTCAGATCTTAAAGAGCAGATCAAAGATCTGACTCAGAGCAACTCCGAACTCAGAGTGGTCGTGGAAAACCTGACCGCTGAGAACGCTGCTTCTCACAAGGAGTTGGTTGAGCAGCAGGAGAGCTTCAAATATCAACTCCAGGATAAATCTGTCGCCTGTGACCTTTTGAAAGAAAAACTGCAGAATACAAATACTTGTTTCAATCAGGAGAAGGAGAAGAGGCTTGCTGCAGAGAACCAGTGTGTGCTTTACAAGGAGCAAACTAAAGAGATGGAGAACGGTTTGGTTCAGCAGCAACAAAAGCTGGTGGCTTTAGAAAAGCAGTTACAGGAGCAGAAAAACGTGAAAAAAGATTTACTAGAAATCTGCTCAAATCTAAAAGGTGAGACAGACGAGTCTCGTTTTTCTGGAGTCTCGAGAAACGATCTGATCGAGAACTTTGAAAAGCTGGAGGAACAACATTTGGGCTTAGAAGCGATGTTAAGCAGAGAAAAAGATGAGAAAATCAATGCAGAAAAGAAGTTTCTTGACAAGCTGGAGAAATTAAAGGAGCAGCTTTCAGAAAAGAACGTTTTCATCGAAAATCTGCAAACAGATTTAGATCAAGAACGTCGGTTCAGACTCGTTAGTGTCCAGGAGCAGAAGAACGCCCAGCATAAAGTTAACGAGAACTATAAGAAGGAAATGAAAGATCTTAAGAAAAGGAACGATGACCTCTCTGAGATGCTGGACAACGTTAAAACGGATCTGAAGAACAGAGACATGAAACTTCTGGAAGAGCAAAATAATTTTAAGCATCAGCTCAAACAGAAGAAGCTAATCTGCGAAGATTTAGAGAAACGTTTGAACAAAGAAAACGAGCTCCGCCTGACCTGTGAGGAAGAACTCAAAAAAACTAAAGATCAAATGAGTTTAAAGAACGGAAATCTCAAGAAGGAGATAAACGACCTGAAACAGAAGAACTTGGAGCTCAGTCAGACGCTGAGAAGTGGTCAGGCTGTAGAAACTAAATCAGAACAGATGTGTGAGGATCTGCAGAAGTTTAAGCAGCTGCTCCATGAAAAAATGTCCGTCTGTGAAGAACTTAGCAGCAGTCTGGACATGGAGAAGCAGCTCAGAGTTAGCTACGAGGCTCAGCTGGACTCTAACAGGGCGATAGCCTGTGAGAACTCAGATCTTAAAGAGCAGATCAAAGATCTGACACAGAGCAACTCTGAACTCAGAGTGGTCGTGGAAAACCTGACCGCTGAGAACGCTGCTTCTCACAAGGAGTTGGTTGAGCAGCAGGAGAGCTTCAAACATCAACTCCAGGATAAATCTGTCGCCTGTGACCTTTTGAAAGAAAAACTGCAGAATACAAATAATTGTTTCAATCAGGAGAAGGAGAAGAGGCTTGCTGCAGAGAACCAGTGTGCGCTTTACAAGGAGCAAACTAAAGAGATGGAGAACGGTTTGGTTCAGCAGCAACAAAAGCTGGTGGCTTTAGAAAAGCAGTTACAGGAGCAGAAAAACGTGAATGAAGACTTACAAGAAATCTGCTCAGATCTGAAAGGTGAGAACTCAGATCTTAAAGAGCAGATCAAAGACCTGACACAGAGCAACTCCGAACTCAGAGTGGTCGTGGAAAACCTGACCGCTGAGAACGCTGCTTCTCACCAGGAGTTGGCTGAACAGCTGGAGAGAGTCAAACATCAACTCCAAGATAAATCTGTCGTCTGTGAAAACCTGGAAACAGGTTTCACCAACGAACAGAAGCTCAGACTCCAGCTTTCCCAGCAACTCCAGGAAACATCTGGCCTGTGTGAGAGCCTGGAAAACCAGCTTAGAGACGAGCAGAAGATCAGACTTGGTTTGGAGACTGAGCTCGCCCAAAACAGAGACGTGGTCAGTGCAGGTCATGATGATTTGATGGCCAAACTAGAACAGATGGAGGAAAAAGAAACGAAACTCTGTAAAGTCGTCATTAACCTCCAGTTAGATCTGTTTAGAAGAAAAAAGCAGCACGAGGAAGAGTTGGGAATCCTGAAGGAACAAGTCTCTAAACTCGAGGCACTGACTACAAATCTGGAAAGTCAAAATCAGATCTTAAGACAAAAGACTGAATGTTTTAACCCAGATCAGCAAACAGAAGCAATCAGTGAGCAGAACGTGGACGCTGCAGAAGGAAACAAGAGTCTTCCTGCTGAAAACAACTCTTTAGCAGAAAGCCTCGAGTCCCAGAGAGACGCTCCACACTCAGACACAAAAAAACTGGATAAAGTTTCTGTGTGGAGGCGTTTCAAGAAATCTGTAACACCGGGATGTCTCCGTCAGCACAAAAACAGACAACCTAGCAACTAACCTCCCTCCTAACTAATCAGAAAAGGCTAATTAGAAGACATCCCATCGGGCAGCACTGTCCAGGATGAATCTGAGAAGTTAAACCAGCCACTGCCTCCCCAAAGACCCTGTTTTGATAAAAAAAAAGATAAATAAACAAGCCCCCCCAACACACACACAAGGAAAAAAACGGGGCGTCATGGTGGCACAGTGGCTAGCACTGTTGCCTCACAGAAAGGTCACTGGTTCAAATCGGATCAGCTTCCTTTCTGCGTGGAGTTAGCATGTTCTCCCCATGAATGCGTGGGTTTTCTCCCGGTGCTCGGGTTCCCCCCGCATGCCAAAAACACACTAAAAACACGCTTAGGTCAATCGGTGACTAAATTATCCCTAGCTGTAAGTGAGTCACTGTGATGGACAAGACCTGCTTGCTCAGTAGGAGGGACTGCTGTAAAATCACTGACACAAGTCAGTGACTCGATGAGATCTGCTGGGTTTCCTTAGATAGGAAAATTATAACTAATTAGAATAATGAAGTGAACTCAAGACATGGTTTAATACGAAAGGTTCAACTGCAGTGTTTGCTTTTTGAGATGACTGCTGTTTACCTTGGTGCTACATAAATAAACTGAACTGAATAACTAATCTGAGAAAAGCAGCAACAGCTTCCCCCAAAACCCTTAAAGAGAAATCAGACCTTGTCATGGACGTCACTAGGATTGAGAGATGGGGGGGCTTAGCCCCAGGAGCTTGACCTTGAACATTTTTTGTCACACCCTGCAAAAACTTTGTCAATTAATTCATTATCTGAAGAACATTTAACAAAATCTATTATTTTATCACTTTCTTTTCCTTTCCTACCTTTGTGCATTTTCTCTCTTCTTTTTATAAAAAATAACACTTAGTTCATTAGTGGGGTCTATGTTGAAGAAAGATTTTATATAAGTCCATTAAAAATTAGATATGTTATATTTCCAAATAAAGCTATTCATTTCAGTCTACTGCACTTAACAGGGGGAAATGTTGCAGTCATTTGTTTAATTTGTTTAATTACAACTTGCTTAATTATAAATGTTACTGAAATATGACAAAGAACAAATGAATAATTTTCAAACTTTTATTCTGCCAAATGAGTGTGCAGTTGACAGTTTTAATATATGAATAACATTGATATGATATGGAATAAAGGAGTATGTAATTAACAATTACAAGACAAAATAACAGTATATATAAAAAATAGGGCTGGGACTTGATTAAAAAATTTAATCTAGTTAATTTGAGGCTTTGTAATTAATTAATCTAAATTAATCGCATTTTAATTGTTCAGGAAAATGTGCTCTTAAAACAAAACTTAATTAAAATTATGAAACAGAGAATTAAACATTAGACATAGTTATTACTGTAAAACTAAAGCTTTTAATAAAAAATGCATTTTAATTAATCAAATGTCACTGTGTGATATTAAACAAGACCCAAATTAAATAAAATTTATAATTACAAATAGAAAATGCCTGCAAAGGGTTCCCGAGCCTTTAAATAGTCTCTCTGTCTAGTTGAATTACTGAAATAAATTTGACTTTGCACCAGATTCTAATTTTTCCAGATTCTAATTTTTCCAGTTTCACTTGTTTGTATAACTGGGAGTTTTTATTAGCATTTCTACTCATAATGTAGTAAAAACACACCTATAAATAATAATCCTTCAAAATGACAGTAGAACAGGCACAAATATGATCTAGGACTTAAATGTACTAACTTTTAACACCAGAGCAGGCGTGGCATATTCTGAGAATGATCAGGAACACTAACTGGTTCCAGTTGGATGACTGGAGGATGATGGGATGATAAAAGATCATGGCGAGGAAATAATGATGTGACGAACAGGTGAGCGGACCTTCCTTACATGGGAAGTCCTGCTGTCACGTTAAGAAGGGGGTGCTGCAGACCCGCAGATTCATGCCTGCAGCAGTGAATCTGGTGTGATCTCCAGCCTGATCACAACTTCCTCATTCCTCGCTGCCCCTGATACACTTAAGTATCCGCCCCTCAGCTGATGACAGCTTCAACACACCTCGCTGCTTAATGATAGTAATGCACAGAGGTGGAAAGAGCACAAAAATGTTGTACTTAAGTACAAGTATAATTACTTTCATGAAATTTTACTCAATTACAAGTAAAATTACATGCCTCAAAATGTACTCAAGTAAAAGTAAAAAGTAGCTTATTTCAAATGTAGTCAGAGTAAAATTTACTTAGTTACTTTTTTGACTGTGCAAGGACGGGCTCTTCTGAATTGTTAAAAAAGACAATGGGGTATAAATTTTGGCCGTTTTTTTTATTAAATGAACAAATATGCATATTGAAGTACAGGGACTGCAAACTAGTAACAAATTAGGTTATAGTCACAAGCCCATGACTTTTCCCTGAATGACCCCCCCCCCCCCCCCCCCCCCCACCCCCCACCCGGCAGATCCTGAAAGGCCTACCCAGTCTCTCAGCCTCTCCAGTATCAGGTGATGGTCAACAGTGTCAAAGGCTGCAGTCAGGTCCAGCAGGACCAGACAGAACAGTCCCCTGCATCACTGTGAGTCAGAAGGTCATTAGAGACCCTAAGAAGAGCTGTTTCAGTAGAATGAGCTCTATGAAAACCTGACTGTAAGTAATCATAGATGTTATGTTCATCAAGAGCAGCTGTGAGTTGTTTAGCCACAACCTTTTCCAAGATCTTGGAGATGAACGGAAGTTTAGAGATGGGTCTGAAGCTGCTATGGAGAGAGGGGTCGAGACTCGGTTTTTTAAGAAGCAGGTGGATTACAGCATTCTTAAAGTAAGCAGGGACCTGACCAGAAACCAGAGAAGCATTAATTATAGAGAGCATGCTGGGGCCGATGGACTGAAACGCACTTTTAAACAAAGATGAGGGTAAGATGTGATGACTGTTGCTTGACTTGCTCCGCCCCAGCCTCTGCCATCTGGTGAAGATGTCTTCTCATATTGATCAAACCTGTTGAATGACAAATACATAACACATATGTAATATATCTGGTAATTACGTTTTGATAGAAGATGCAACAAGAATTGTTTTTAGTAATACATACCTTACAAATACTATAATTTGTGTCAACAGACTCGTATAATTGAACTTTAAGTATGTTGACAGGAATGAAATGAATAAGAAACAGATTAAGGTATGATATTAAATTATAAAATATTACCTGCTTCAATGATATCGTGCCTCTCAGTCCAGGTGGTCTTGAACTTTGGAAGAAGGATTGCAGCAGCAGTCAGCTCAGGGTCTTCCATCATCTCACCAAAGTGCTTTTGGACACCATCCTGAATGGCTCTGAAGAGTGGCAGACACATCTTGGAGACAGTCTCCAGTCTGCTGAGTTTTTCTTTTAGCTGGAAGATCACTTGAGGGGCGGGACTAGGAAGCTCAAAAATGACCAATCAGAAAAAAGAAGGAAATCCCAACTGTACCACGACGCGGTAGATTTCTAGTTGTAGTAAAAAAATAGCATCTGGCAATGGCGCAAACATCTTTTATTTTTTATAAGAAATGCTTTTAGCGCTTCTACTTGTGGTTTTAAAGACATCTGTGTCATTTAGAACAGAGGAGAGAGCCACAGTGAACTCCACCACTGTCTTCGTTGTTTATGAGAAATTGAGCATCGCCGTGTATGACGTGAATTAAACAGGAGTCTGGCAGGTCAGGCTGTCTTTCTCGTACCATTAGCGCCTATTTTCTTCTCCTACCCATCGTTCATTGCACTGTAAGGTCACTGAACACATGCTTCACATTAAGAAGTTCAGCTCACCTGTTGACCGCTCAGACATCCCTTCATTCCTTCTCACAAGCTTTGATCTTAGGTGATCCTCCAGTCATCCAAATAGTCAGTTAGTGTTTCTTATCCTTTCCTTCGTACCCCGCAACACTCTCGTAACTTAAGCACTCAGTTCTTCTGGTGCGCGCCTTCAGCGTCCGCAGCACTTCCGTGTTTGGGTCTTACCAGTATAAACATATATACATACATAGACACTTCGTTAAACGCTGGATCACTCTCGAGTACGTTAAGACGCTTCTACATATGTATGTGTGTATACTCTCCTCTCTTCTCTGTGGTGTCTGAGTCTGAATCCAGTGCGAACCGTGCCGACACAGTATTTTGCAATGTTGTTTTTTTTTAACTCGGTAACAGATAAGATAAAAACTGTAGCGAAGTACAATACTTACAAAAAACAGTACTTAAGTAAAAGTAAAATTACAGATTTTAAAAACTGCTTAAAAAGTGTAAATGCGCAAAAAATCTACTCAGTTACTGTAATGCAAGTAAATGTAATTAGTTACTTCCCACCTCTGCATACGATGACACAATATACAAACAACTGGAAGGCGTCGCCATGGGTAACCCGATATCAGCCACCCTGTGAGAGTTTTTCATGGAAGACCTAGAACAAAAAGCTATAGCCACCGCTCCCCCAAACTGTAAAATAAAATTATGGAAACGCTACACAGACGACATACGGGAAATCATACCAAAAGGACAAACAGAAACACTAACACAACACTTGAATAACATTGATGACACAGGTAACATAAAGTTCACATGAGATGGAAACAGATGGCAGTGTAGCATTTATGGACATGAAAATAACCAGGCAGACCGACGGGACCCTAAACATAAATACATATAAGAAACCAACACACACAGACCAATATTTATTATGGACATCAGAACACCCCACCATACACAAAATGTCAGTAATCAGAACATTATATCACCGAGCAAACATGGTAACAGAAGGAGAGTGTAAACAGGAGAACAAACACATACAACACGCTTTAAAGGCCTGGGGATACCCGACATGGGCAATAAACAAAGGAAAACAACAAACAACAAAAGAAAGAAAAGAACAACCAAAGCAAAGAACCAGAAACACAGAAAGACAAGAACCAAAACCAGTGATAACCCTACCATACATCAAAGGCATAACAGAAAAAATAAAAGCAACATTGAAAAAACACAACATAAACACACCAACAAAGCCATACACAACAGTTAGAAACAGACTAGTGCACCCAAAAGACAAGCTACCAGCTGGACTTAAATGTGGAGTCATTTATGAAATCCCATGCAAACTCTGCAATAAAACATACATAGGAGAAACCGGAC